GAAGGGCAATCTGAAGCAGCACATAGCCCACTTCATTGAGACTTGCAATAATGCGGGAATCTACAACGACCAAATGGTGAAGCAGTTTGTTCGCTCCCTTAAGTCTACAACGTTTGATTGGTACACCGACCTCCAGCCCGGCTCCATCGACAGTTGGGACCATCTTGAGAGAGAATTCCTCACTCGCTTCTATTGTATACAACAAACTGTTGGACTTCCAGAACTCTCCACTACAAGGCAAAGAAAGGATAAGTCTATCATTGACTACATCAAGCGGTGGAGAAACCTTGCCCTTCAGTGCAAGGAATAAATCAGCCAATCCTCTGCCATAGACACATGCATCCAAGGGATGCATTGGGGACTACTCTATAACCTCAAAGGGAACATGCCTACCACCTTCAAAGAGTTAGTTATTCGAGCTCATGATTTGGAGATCCAGATAGCCAAGCATGGGAATACCCAACTAAGTGATCCTTGTGAAAAGAAAGAAGGTAAGAAGGAAGTCAAGAAGGACCTTAAGACCTCTCCCTCCTCTGGAGGAAAGGAAGTCATGAACACTACCATTGCATCAATTAAGATCTTCAGTAAGAAGAAGAAGACGGAGATCAAAGTGAAATCTTTTGCAAACCAAGGCCAAGAGAAGTATAGACCTACTCTGAAGGAACTAGAAGAGAAGGAGTATCCATTCCCCCGACTCCGACGTTCCAGAAATGCTCAGCCAGCTACTCCAATTGAAGTTGATTGAGCTTCCACCACCCAAGCGACCTAAAGAGCAAGGACGTGTGACAGACCCCAAGTATTTCCAGTACCATCGGATGATAAGTCATCCAACTAAAAAGTGTTTTGTCTTGAAGAACAAAATACTTCATCTCTCAAAACAAGGAAATATCGAGTTAAATCTTGGTGACAATTTTGTTGCTGCTAATGTCACCATGGTGACTTTTGGGTCTTTTGACCCAGTACCACTACAACCCTCTATAGATTCTTCTTCATCTACTCAAGCTACAGTGAACGTCCAAACCTCAAGGAACTCTACACCCTTAAAAAGGAAGTCAGCACCATAGCACAATTTATCGGATTCTCCTCAAATTATGGAGGCTGGGGGCAAGGTAGCTGGACCCCCAATGACATCTTTTCCTATGGTATCCCTCTCATAGGGGGCAGTTCCTGTCCAGTTTATTATTGATCAAGAGGTGATCACGGTTTATGCCTATCCTGACATGCCAAGGTTTGGGAATCCTGACATCCCTACTCTCTATGAGCTGATGGCTGATGACTTGGACTACTGGGAAGAGTCATCTGTTTCGGAAGATGAGATAGAAGATGGGTTGTCCACCTTCACTAGCAAGAAACCTAAGGATAAGGTACGACATCAACCCGAATGAATCATTTCGAATGGGGGCAAGACTATCTCCATCTACTCTAGTGACTCAAAAACATCTCCTCAAGACGAGATCAGATGGACCATTGTCTCTAGGCGTAATAACAAAGCTCCTTGTCTCGTCGTCCCTGCATCAACCAAACTAAAGCGGGCTAGAAGACGACGAGTACACAGCGCCTCCAAGAAGAAGAAAGTGCCAAAGAAGAAAACACCGTAGGTACACCTAGTTAGTGAGGAGGAAGTGCTTCAATAGCCTCATCCAACTCTAGTAACCCTTTGAGAGTTCATGCCTAGAGAACTTTTCCCATATGAGTGTGTAGTAGCATACATAGTGACGGTTGACGAAGATGAAACATCACCATCAATAGAAGAAGCTTCATCTAACGAGGATGAAGACATGACAAGGATTCTTTAAGAGCACCCCATGTTTGATGAAGAAGTAATAAAGCAACTGAAGGAAGTGCCATCCCACCTGAGCCTTACCCGAGCACTACAACTTCCGCAGACGGTTCACTTTGCAATGGCGGAGACCCTAATTCTCCCCAACAAGTACCAAAGCAAAGTACCAAAAGGAGACGGTTGCGCAGATTGCATGGAAACAATTACCTTCACAGTTGAGGATTTACAACTTGGGTCATGTCAACATAACAGACCCTTGTATGTTGCTAGATAAGTTCGTGAACAGAACATGTTACGCATCCTCATTGATTGTGGATCTGCCATCAACATCATGCCAGTCTCCACTATGAAACAACTTGGGATTGACAAGCATGAATTGTTAAAGAGCAAGTTGACAATCCAAGGCTTCAATCAAAAGGGACAATGTGATGTGGGCATGGTGTGTCTCGAGATAGAAATAGGGGACTTGACATCTTTGGCCCTTTTACATGTCATTGATGCCAAGACATTCTACCAACTACTTTTGGGACATCTTTGGTTGCATGAGACAGGAGTGGTTCCTTTAATATGGCACCAATGCTTCAAATACTACTGTAATGAAACATAGAGGAAAGTAGTCGCCGAGCCAAACCCTTTCAACAAAGCCGAAGCACATTTTGCTAATGCAAAGTTCTATGCTGACAAAGTCATCTCAGAAGCTCTTTCGATCTCTATGTCGAAACCTTCCACAATGAAGGTCTGGAAGAAAAGGAGGACCCAATGCGTGAAGAAGAAAATGCATCTTCAAGTAGTGACAAGAAGCCTCTACAAAACCATCATGCATTTGCTACCTTGCCAACAACTCCACCATTGACTTTCTCTTCTTGTAACCAATCAGCCCATGTGCTTCGTTACACCCCAAAGTCGAGGAGAAGGAAAGGGCAACTACCTTTTGAGGTCATGATTGTACCAAGCACTGCACCGATATCAATGAGTGACATTGAAGTTCTTGAGAAGGATCTTGTTCTTCCAATTTCTACAACATCGAATTCAGTGGTTTTTAAACTTTCACTAAAAGGATTTGTTAGAGGTTCATCAACTAGTAAAGTAGGGCAACATCAAGAATGGTGGTTTGATCCCAATGCTGAGAAGCTCCTCAAGAAGGTGGGCTATAGAGAAGGTGAAAATCGCCGGTTAGGAGACCTTGAGCCAGTCCTTACAAGTGGACAAGCCTATGGCCTAACAAAGACGCAAAGAGCTTTTCAAAGTGGTGGCTCCCACATCCTTCAAAAGAATGTTGGCTTAGGATACCATCAAAATCCACTAACTAGAATTTCACAAAGAAAAGTGCCATCCAACCACATCACTATAGAAGTGGTGGACAAAAGGGAAAAGAAGCATAAACAATGGAGTTCAGTCTCCGATCGGCTAGGAGAATAGAAAAAAAGACAATCAGTGCTTGGCAAGCTTGGAGGACAAGATGTCACTCCAACGTCATTTGCTCAACCACAAAGACTTTAGTACTCTCCCGCATAGGGCCCAAGGGTGCTAATATGAAGAAAAAGGGCCGACAACAAAGTCAATGCCTACAATGCGCCATTGCTACAAAGGTGAAGTCAAAGCCTCGAAGTGTTGTTCCTTCTCATATGAAGAGGGTAGAGAACTTGGAAATTTCCTCAAATGATACATTGACAGTTAGACAACAGACTATTGTCATCACGTCCCCATCATTTTCTCAGTCAAAGTTCAACCTTCAACCAAGACAAAGCATTAAAGAACAAAGTGAAAGGATAACTAAGGGTGAAGACATTGTCTCAATTAATCACATCACCATCGAGGAGGAGGATGAAGAGTTATCAAACACTTATTCAGATGAAGAACTTGAGCCTGCCCCACCTACCTTTAAAGGAGGCCAAGCAACAGTGGATGACTTGAAGGAGTTGAACCTTGGCACCGAAGAAGAACCTAGACCTATCTACACTAGTGCACTCCTTAGCCCTAAAGAAGAAATCAAATACTTCAAACTACTTCAGGAGCACATGGATGTCTTTGCTTGGACATACAAGGAAATGCCCACAAGTTGGACCTAAAGGTTACTGTCCACCACCTCTCTATTAGGCATGGGGTACAACCAATCAAGCAAACACAACATCGATTTCGGTCCGAGTTGATTCCACAAATTGAAGTAGAAACCAACAAGCTCATTGAAGCTAGTTTCATTCAAGAGGTGAAGTAAATTTAGATTGCAAACTTTGTCCCTATGAGGAAAAATAATGGTCAAATTTGGGTCTGTGTTGACTTCCAAGACCTAAATCAAGCTTGCCCAAAAGACGACTTTCCTTTGTCTATCACTGAACTCATGGTAGATGCAACTACAAGCTACGAGGCATTATCCTTCATGGACGGTTCATCTGCATATAATCAAATTCACATGGCACTTAAGGATGAAGAACTCACGGCCTTCCGAACCCCAAAGGGGATCTACTATTACAAAGTGATGCCTTTTGAGCTTAAGAATGCCAGTGCTACGTACCAACAAACGATGCAGCAGATCTTCGATGACATTCTTCATAAGAAGGTTGAGTGCTATGTCGATGACTTGGTTGTCAAGTCTAAGAAGAGAGAAGACCATCTTGACGATTTGCGTAACATCTTCAATAGGCTAAGAAGATATCAACTAAAGATGAACCCTCTCAAGTGTGCATTTAGAGTCACCTCGGCAAGTTCATCAGGTTTATTGTTCGCTATCGAGGGGTTGAAATTGATCAATCAAAGATTGACGCTATCTAAAACATGCCAGAGCCATGGAATCTACAAGAGTTGAAGAGTCTCAAAGACGACTGGCTTACATTCGATGGTTCATCTCCAACCTATCAAGACGTTGTCAACCATTCAACATGTCCCATTTGAGTGGGATGAGGCCTGCAAAAATTCCTTAGAGAGCATAAAACAAGACCTCCTCAAACCCCCAGTACTTGTTGCACCAATCCCTGAGGCGCCACTCATCCTATACATCGCTGCATAAGAGCAGTCATTGGGAGCCTTGCTGGCACAAGTCAATGAGGAAGGGAAAGAGAATGCACTCTACTACCTCAGTTGGACACTAATAGAAGCCGAGTTGAACTATTCAGCCATAGAGAAGACTTGTCTTGCTCTCATCTTTGCCCCGAAGAAGTTACAACATTATATATTGGCACATACTGTCCACTTCATCTCAAGGGCTGACCCCCTCAAGTACATCATGACACAACCTGTACTTTCAGGGAGACTGGCTAAATGGGCTCTCCTCTTGTCAGAGTTTGACATCACCTATGTCCTACAGAAGGTTGTGAAAGGACAGACACTAGTAGACTTTCTTGCAGATCACCCTATTCCAGCAGATTGGGAATTCTCCGAAGACCTTCCTAATGAAGAGGTTTTCTACATAAACATCTTACTAGCATGGGTGATATTTTTTGATGGAGCAGCATGCAAAGATGGTGCCAATGCTGGTGTTGTATTTGTCTTGCCACAAAGAGAAATCCTCACATACTCATTTGTCTTAACTAAGCTTTTCTCTAACAACATGGCGGAGTACCAAGCTTTAATCATTGGCTTACAAATGGCTCTTAACTTGGAAATCCACTACCTCACAATCTATGGGGGTTCGAATTTTGTAATCAACCAATTGAAGACAGAGTATGAGGTGCATAAGGATGACTTAGTTCCCTATCACCATTATGCAATCCAATTACTGAAGGAGTTTGAGAATGGTACCATTGAACATGTACCCAGAAGCGAAAATAAGCAAGCAGATGCCCTTGCCAATCTAGTGGTAGTCTTACCACTCACAGGTGATGAAGCAACAACAATATCCGTTTGTGCAAAATGGGTTCTCCCCCCTAAGTTACCTCAAGAAGAGATAGAGCAAAAAGCAATGTGGCTTCTGTGTTCACTATAGATGTTGAGAATTTGAGATAACCCTTCATCGACTACTTGCAGCATGGGAAGTTGCTTGAAGATCCCAAGCATGGAGCTGAGATACGGCGTCGAGCACCCTGTTTCCTATAATACAATGACAATCTCTACAAATGCTCCTTCAATGATGTCTACATGAGATGTATCCATGGAGACAAAGTCCAAAGTGCAGTCGACCAAGCACACTCTGGAGTTTGTGGTGCTCATCAATCAGGACCTAAGCTCTATGATCGCCTTAAGTGAATGGGATTCTATTGGCCAACAATGGTACAAGACTCAATTGAATATGCTAAAATATGTCAGGTATGTCAATTCCATGGGACTTTATTCGCCAACCACTAGAACCTTTACATCCTACTGTTGCATCGTGGCCATTTGATGCATGAGGACTTGATGTGGTTGGTCCTTTTTCGAAGTCTTCTTGCTAGCACCTCTTCATCCTAGCAGCAATGGATTACTTTTCCAAATGGGCTGAAGTCGTTCCCCTTCGAGAAGTAAAGAAAGAAGATGTGTCAACTTCCTCCAGACTCACATTGTCTACCGCTACGGTGTTCCACGTTGCATAATCACAGATAATGGGAAACCATTCTTAGCAGCATTGGTGACATAGGTTTGTGATAAGTTTGGTGTTAAGCAAAGGTTTTCAACCATGTACAAATGCAGCGGCCAACGGACTTGCAGAGGCCTTTAACAAAACTCTCTGTAAATTACTTGGGAAGATTGTGTCCAAGTCCAAAACAGATTGGCAAGAAAGCTTGGATGAGGCCTTATGGGCATATTGGACATTTTACTGCACCGCTACAAATGCAACTTCTTTTTCTTTAGTTTATGGTATAGAAGTTGTACTTTCCCTAGAGAGACAAATGAATTCCCTAAGGGTGGCTATCCAAGAGGGAATTATAGAAGATGAGAATGCAAAGCAACGACTAGCTGAGCTCGAAGCGCTTGACAAGATGAGGTTAAAATCTTAACAAAGAATAGAGTGCTACTAAGCTCGTTTGGCTCATTCTTTCAACAAGAAGGTTCATCTTCGATCCTTTTAGAAAGAAGATCTTGTCCTTGTTGTTTGATGACCTATCATTTTCTTACACTGTTTAGGGAGGAAATTTGACCCTAAATGGGATGGGCCTTACGTGGTGGAAGAAGTCTACACTAATTGTGATTATCTCCTTGTCACAGCAAAGGGTCTACGTCTTGGGCCCATTAATGGAAAATACCTTAAGAGGTACTACCAGTAGTCTTTTGCATTGCAACGTTCCTGGCCCGCATGAGCCTAAACTGTGAACAACAAAACAAAACAAAAACAAAAAGAATTCTTTTTCATTGTAATGTTCCTGGCCCACATGAGCCTAAACTTTGAATGGCAAAAAAAAAAAAAACTTTTGCATTGTAACACTCCTGGCCCGCATGAACCTAAACTGTGAATGACAAAATAAAAAAAAAACAAGTCTTTTTCATTGTAATGCTCCTGGCCTGCATGAGCCTAAACTGTGAACGGCTTAAAATAAATGTCAAACATAAAGGTTTCTTCTTTCTTTTTAAATATAGAAAATGGAACTTTAACTTTATTGCTCAAGTACATCATTTACAAAGCAAAAAAAAGAAAAAGGAGGGGAAAATTGTCTCTCCAAAACATTATATTGCTCGGGACCTTGGTGAATCCAATCGGCTTCCGAGAAAGCCTCGAATTCCTCTAGAAGTTCGGCCTTCATCTTGTCTATGCCCTGTACTTCTTCTTTGTTTGCAACCTTTGCTTGCTTTAGCTCATCATATCGAGCCTTTGTAGTTGCAAGTGCCACCTCAACCTCTCGTTGGTCTTGGGCAAGAGCACTATCTTGGGATAATAAGGAAGAATGTTTCTCCTCTATTTTTGCCTCTCATCTTCAAGTGCTTAAAACTTTGCCTTGATTTGACATAGCGCATCTTCGACAATGGCAAGATCTGCTTTGATCTAATTCCCTTTGACTACTGATAGAAGATGTGTTCTTCACATGTGCAGCCACCTAGCCACCTTTGTGGATAAAATTGATAATTCCTTCTCCTTTTGCTTTTCAGTTGGAGCATTCTTAATGATATCATCCGAGCAAGGTAATCCTCTACGCATGATAACAATGAATCAACTTTTTGAATCAAGAGAGAAGTATCAAGGTGGAAAACGTCCTTGAGGGCCTCTACAGTCGAAGGAAACTTGATTGTCCACCAACCCTTCATGTAATTGAAACATTTCTTGCTTACAGGCTCCAACTCATCCTTCATGAAGCTTTTTATTATTCCATGTTATGGAAGCTTGCACATGCCACATAATCTCTAATAGGACTAGCAGACCTCTTGGAATAACTTGAAAACTCTGGCAGTACTTGATCTGTGAAAAGACCTCTTGAACAAGGAGATGAAGCATTATAAGAATTGGAAGATATGGCACTATGAGAATAGTGGGATGGAAGGGATTGTGCTTCCTTAGTATGCTCTCTGCTTTGCATATTAGAAGATGCATGCCCAAGTGCTTCATCGTCAGGAAGAGAAAAGTCATTGATGCTATCTCCCAGTAGATGCACTATGTTCTCTATGACATCTGTGCCGATAATGTCGTTATGAGGTATCTTTGGGAATGACTCCAAGTGATGATCCTCTAGCACAGGCGGAAAGGTTGCAAGATAGAGATGCTACATTAGTGAAAAAACTAAGGAAACGGAAACAAGATTAAAATATAATGTATAGATCTTACCACTAGCAATGGTATAAGGCAACAAATCTAAGGGAGGAGTTGAAATTAAAGAAGGCGGACTAATCACTGATGATTGGTTAGTTACTGCATTAGCAACTACTTCAGTCTCCTTGTCATGGGTCACTGGTGGATGAAGATCTTCTCTGCTTCCTAGATTCTGAGAAGCATCAACATTTGTGACTATATGTTGTTGGGATGTTCTTGAAGTTGGTATTTCTTTGGGATCGCCATCCAACTCAACTACATTTTGAGACTGTGAGAATGATGCCTTAGATCCATGTATCTTCACTAACTCCCGGTGAGGATGCTCACTGTTGGAAAGAGAAGTGGCAATAGGGTCATCATCATGACCTCTCTTTAAAGGAGGACCTAGAGGCTGCTTGCTTGAATTCACTGCCTTTCCTTTTCCTGCGATCTTTTTAGGCACCTGTACAATTTTACTTTGATCTGTTGTCTCACTTAATTCACTCAAATATAAGTTCCTCACAACAATGTCTTCTAACACTTTTCCTGCACCTTGCATCCGCCGATTCAAATAACTAAGGTCGCATTGGCGATCAATATGTCCAACAAGCCCTGGAATATAAAATGTAGCACCAGTATTCACCCGAGTAAGGGATAACCACAAGCTATAGAGTTGGTGAGGACCGGCCTTATAAAATAAGTGCTTTAGAGACTCCAGAAGTCTTTGATGGAAACCTTGTTGAAGAGCAAACCTATGTGGGCTATACATTTTCAAGCAACATTGAGACCCTTGACGCAACATCACATAGCTAGGGCGAATATTGAACATAATTCCCTAGATTCTGTGAAACGAGAGTCATCATCTAAATGATCTCCAAGATTCTGAACATTGTATTGCAATTTTTTGGGTCTCCAACTAAAGTCGTTCTTTGACATGGCTCCATGAAGGAGGTCTCGAGTTGACTTGGCCTTTTGCATCATAGAAGAAGCAGGCATTCAAGAGCCCTTGGAACATCTCAATGAGAGGTCGTCTGTAAGACGACAAAACATCAGTGAATACACCTTTGACAAAGTATAGTATAGCCCAAACATACAAGAAATGTCCAGGAAATGCAAACGTCGATAACCCAAAGAAGTTAGATGATTCTTATACTTATGCATATGTGTTGAAAAGACCCTAATAAATGCTTGCTAGCACAGGAGGAACCAACCTATGTATAATGCCATGAGCTATTCGTGATGTTACTTTGAATGTTCTAGGACGAAGAACGTTGAGGTCATTTGAGGGCAAAACAAAGCAATATAACCACAAAGCTAAGTAGGATGTTATCTAGGATTCATTCTCAACTACTTGATCCCTAAGAAATCATAACCTAACAGATGGATTTTCTTTGCACCTCTTAGAGCTAACCAGTTTTCTTTTCATTTGCAAAGGCTTATTAATTTTCCTAATTTCATAATATTCCTTGGTCTTCTTGTTGAAATCATATCCAAACTTGGCGTCTTTATAATCCTAGAGAAAGTGAGGATTCAGAATCCTTTCATTTGTTGTAAACCAGAACTCGAGCCAGTCTACATGAGTAACTCGGCTAGATCCATTTTTGAAGGCAAGTTGAGCATATGCTTTGAACAAATATTGGCATGAATGAGGCAAACCACTTGTACTAGAAGACATTAGCTCCTCTAAGTTGGGAATCACTTCCTCATTATATTCTCTACCTATGGAAAGGCCTGAGATTTGTTGGATGTCCCAAAGAGATATTCCGATATCACCTCGACTGGTTACAAAAGTGTTCGTGTCAGAGCACCAAACCTCAGTTAAGGCTCTATAAATGTTGTCAGGTCGACTATACACACGAGTAGCTGCATGGACCACCTGACTCAATTCTTTCATGTTCCTTGTGTCTCGAAGACAGTTGAATACTTCATGACCCCAATCCCAAAATCCGCTAAGATAATGAATCTCCCCTATTGGGCTTAGATTAAAACCCCATTTCATGGACCCTTTTTGTATCTTCTCTGTAATATTGGGAAATGGACGGTTATTTGTAACGGTAGGGTGGAAAGGATGTTTTAGGCATGGCTGCCTAGATGTAGTAATATGATCCCCTTGGTCTATTTCATGGATCTCGGGGTACCAACTAATCTCTGCCAACTTTGAAAGTGGTTTTGGTTCAACTCCATTTCGACCATAAGGACTTGTCATCAGCTCATCAACAGCAAGTACGAACTTAGTGTGACGAGCACTCCTTGACCCATGAGTTTTTACCAGTATGCTAGGAAAGCGAAGGAAC